GAAACCAAAACTGAAAACTATAAGCACGAAGCTTAGTGAGCTCCCCCAAACTACCACATACCATACAATAACACATATAACACATATTGGGACTTGCCCACTACATCGGGCCCCGCCCGGCATCGGACCGAAGTTCGGCATAAATTGGGCCCCGCCCACTGCATCGGGCCCCGCCCGACATCGGAACCTTATTCCGGAATAACTTGGGCCCCGCCCGACATCGGACCGAACTCCGGTATAAACTGAACATAACATAAACATAACATATAACATAATCACATATACTGCATCGGGCTTGCCCGACATCGGACCGGAGTCCGGAACATGTAACACATACCATAACATGCATGAATCACGAAGACATCAAGCATACATAACTACTTCTCGGGACCATCCCGACATCGGACTGAAGTCCGGAACTGCTATCATCTAAACGGGCCGGCATTGTGGCCGTAGACCCGTTCCTACTGGAAGGAAACTCACCTCGTTTGACTCACTGCTGAAACTCTGGGGGAGGAATATCTGTCTGCTGCTCTGGCGACTCTTCGACTATAATTTAATAAGGAAACTTAGTCAAAACAGATACTATTCTTAGGGTAAAATGACCATTTTGTCCCTGGTCAAAGTCTACATCCTGGTCAAAGTCAACCTTTCAGGTTGACCAAACTCGCCGAGTCAGCCATGTGACTCGCCGAGTCCTAGAATTCAGAACCCTAGAAATCGCGACTCGACTCGCCGAGTCACCTCTTGACTCGACGAGTCCTTAAGCTACTTGCCATCGCGGTTTATTAAACTGACTCGTCGAGTCTTTTTCAAACTCGCCGAGTCTTGGCATAATCAGGGAAGGGACAAGATCCTCCTACTCGCCGAGTTCCTAATCAACTCGCCGAGTTCTACGAACATCATCGGGGTTTCTTCATCGGACTCGCCGAGTTCCTTATGAACTCGTCGAGTCCCATGCAGATCTAACCTAGTTAGCTGGTTTCACACTGCTACAGCTCCAAAATACAAATCTAGATTGTTTCCAAGGTCCATTTCTATAAAGTTGGAGACTTGATGGCTTTGCACACCTCAAATGAACCCAAACTAAAATTATAGCAATCTACTTTCATGAACATGGTCATGTCTTGCATAAAAACGGGTTTAAGACCCTTTTTATGGCTCTAGAGGCCCCAAACTATAGAAAAGCGGTAAAGTCTTACAACAATCCAAGAGAGTAGCTTTGTCTAATCAAAAGGGTCAAAAGACCCAAGAATCCACATGCAAAAGATCTAAGTTATAGCTCATCAAGATAAAAACTTTTTACCTCAGAAAGCTGCCAAAGATGAGTGTATTCCTGGATCTAGTTCTCTTTCCCCAAGCTTTGCTAGCTCAAGCTCTTGCACCCACCTTCAAAGGCACAAAACACACTCAAAACTCAAGATAGAGGCTCACAAACGAACTAGGGTTTTCTGGAGACAAGGAGGCTGATAAGGGAAACCCTGAAAAGAGGTTTAAGATGTTTAAATAGGGTGCAAAACCCGAGAATAGGGTTTCTTCCTGGCAGTCCTACTCATCGAGTCCATGCTTGGACTCGCCGAGCAAGCTTTTTAAATCCCGCGTCTTATAAGGCATCTACTCGACGAGTTAGGTCTACCAACTCGTCGAGTGGCTCAATCCTAGACACTTGAATAAATAAAGAATTGCGTACCAGGAACGGGACGTTACATTTATGCCATGGAGTCCGTCAAAGACTCTAGATTTGTAGTTGATACACCAAATCACGCTTGCATCCATGAATGGCTCCAAAATGCACTCAAAAAGCCCTAAACTACCCCATAAGAAGATCTAGAAAACAAATGGTCAAGGTATAGACTTGATTACCAGAAAGTGAAGAAAAAGTGATGTTGCTCCTGGATCTACAACCTTCTCTTGGAGTCCTTTAGCTTCTTCTTCTTCTCATAGGCTTCAAATCACACTAAAACACTCAAAAATGGTCCTCACACCCACACAAAGCTCAAGCTCACTCATTAGGGTTTTATGGACAATGGAGGACGGTGAGGGAGGCCACAAGGGTGTTATGTTCCTTAAATAGGGGGGCAAACCCTTAGAATTAGGGCTTCCTTCTGGCAGTCCTACTCGTCGAGTCAGGGCTTCGACTCGTCGAGTAGCTCACTTATAACCCACACATATTCTGCCTTCTACTCGACGAGTTAGGGCCACCAACTCGTCGAGTAGCCCTTTTCAAAATGAATAAAATAATAAAGTTAAATGCATACCAGGAACCAGGCGTTACACTATACCCGACCTGAAAAAATATCGGGTTACCCAATTACCCGAAAAAATGAACCCGATACCCGCAAAAATCAGACGGGTAATTCGGGTATCGGGTATTTTCGACAGGGCTAGTATATGATTATGTGTCAAGAAACTCGTATAAGTATTTGTCCAACATCAGTTACACTAAGATGAGGACAATAAGAATTATCATTGGCTTATGTCTAAACCAAGTATGTTATATATGTATTAGAGTTTAGAATGTGGACTTGGGTCATAGCTAAAGCTTAAGTTGATCTTTAAAAAATGGTAAACCGCATACCGTCTATGTTTAATTTGTCTAAGGGTGTATCACGTGGAATGTTAATTTTGAAGCACTAGAAATGTTTTGGGCGTGCGATTCGAATCCTACGTGTAATATTGGTAGAATTTTGTTTTTCAACCATTAGGTATTCATCGTTGGGGAGAAATGTTACTTTAGTATTTAGAATATTGAAATCTAAGAAATTAAGCCTCATATATATGTTTAGGCTTGATGAGTATGTTAGTGCAAGTAAATGTTATGGAAATTGATAAACATGCACTTGAGTGATGATTAGGGAAGAGCATTTGGACCGGGGAACCGACCGGAACCGGTACCGGAATCGGAACCGGATAGAACCGATCGGGCCGGGACTGGGACGATATACTTGTGAATTTTTGGAACCAGGAACCGGTAGGAACCGAAACCGGTAGAACCGGCAAAAACCGAAACCGTATGTTGCTATTTCTCAAGGACCGGTTACAACATTGAAGACACGGCAAGAACCGGTAGAACCGGCAGTCCGGTTCGGTTCCTATTTTCCACCAAGTTCGGTTCCTGGGCCGGTTCCGATGCTCATCCCTAATGATGATTATTACTATGGTAATAAATTACCACCAAGGCCGGTCCAAGCCAATCCGAGGCCCGGGGCAAAATACAAAATGAGGCCCTTTAAATATAAAAGGATATGGAAAAAAAAGTGTCTAAAAAAATATTAACTAAACAAATTAATAAAAAACAGAAAATTGAAAAGATTTGATGGTAAAGATGATGGACTTGGATAAAATGATTCTTGTAAGCCATAAAAAGAAACATTTAAAAATATACAATAGATAAAGGAATGTTTTTACAACAAATTTTAGCTTTTCTTTTACCAATTTAGTTGAAGACATAACATGTCTTGAGTTCAAAAAACCATTGAGTCAAGTGCACCTACTCTTAAAATACCAAAGAGAATTATAAAAAACTATCACCAAGGGCAAAATGGTAAGGACACCAACCAAAAAGAATTAGGTCTCGCCTGAACACTAGGAAATGAATTTTATGCAGGTAACTTAACATTTCAGCACATCAACAACATTGTATTAGGCCCAGGAGGATACCTCTGAACAACATCGGGGGTAAAATACATTAGACTCCATGAATTAACATTGTAAATGCAATTAGAGATCCACAATTGCTTTAACTTTACACAACAGATCCAGGGAACACACAACAGGAATGAACTAAACAAAACATGTAAGAAGAAACGAAAACCATCTATGTAGGTAAGTAGGAATCAGAAACCAAACTAAATCAAAATTAAAGTACTTGTAGATTGATTTATTAACCAAAAACTCCAACTTGGATCAGCAATAATTGTATGTATTAAAAAACACCGCAGGAAGAGAAACAAACGAATAGAGAAACAAGATGGCAAATTTTCGTTTTTTTTTTCCTTACATAATTATGAAACAAGGAGGATGTCATGATGAATTATTCACTTCTAGAAATTGTTGTGAAGTCATGTATAACGAGGGGACTTCATCAGACATTCGTGATTGCTTCTTGAAAAATGAAGCGTCGTCTGTTGGAAAGCCACACTAAAAAAACATAATTATAAAAAAAACAAAAAAAAACATGAAAAATGCAAGAATCGAACACATGCCTCTACCATACAAATTTATGTGCATAATCAATTAACAGTGACTTTGTTTCCTTACTTCATATTATATTTTATATTATCCAAAACTATATATATATATATATATATATATATATATATATATATATATATAAACCGATCGTAACACGTAGGGGCCCCCTGATTTTTGTGAGGCCCGGGGCGGTCGCCCAGCTTGCCCATGCATGCTCCAGAGTCGGCCCTGATTGCCACTAGTGTTAGAGATCTAGACAAATGAAGCTAAAAGAAGCTTTTATGTCAAAATGGGTTTTTGATAGATATTATTTATACATTCATATGCTATTTTGATCAAAGAGAAAGCATTAGTAGTTATATTTATAAGACTAAAATTGTACTTGCAGCTAATTATCTTTTTACATTTAGTATGTTATAATCTCTGTTAGACCTGGTTCGTATTATATATACCTTTTGATTGGAATACGAAATCGCATTAACCACGAGGGAATTTTAGGATAGGTGTATTCTAACAATTGTTTCGAAACACACATATAGCACACGTTTCATATACGGATTTGATTGATCATATCTTGGAAATCATTATACATGAGTGTTTGGGATTACTTTTTAGAACAACTTATTAACTTATTGAATTATTGTTTTTTTCTAAAAGTTAATAAGCTAAAAAAATGTTTGTAAAACTCAAAAGTATTTTTCAAAATTATTTTTTCATTAGTTTTGAAAATAAAATTTGAAAAAACATATAAAAGATGAAGTGGGGTGCCCGGTGGTGAGAAAAAAAAAAAAAAAAAAAAAAAAAAAAAAAAAAAAAAAGCTCTTTCCTATACAACCGATTACCGAGTTGGCTCACCGAACTCGAGATGTCTAGGTCAAAGGATGGTGTTTGCCAATGCCGATTACCGAGTTACCTTTACCTTGACGTCCATAGTGTGTTTAGATACCTTCCGCCGGCGCCGGCGCAAAATACATTCATAACAACGTCACACACACACGCCTATGAAGTCAATTGATAAAGCTCGGTCGCTCTGGCGGCCGGCCGAGCCAGCATCTCTTGTTGTTGAATGTTTAAAACAACGTCACAACTATAAAACAATCGATAAACAATTCCAAGGACAGCAATACATAAAGCAATGGATTCGATTACAAATCGGTGAACTCGGCAAACTTATATACAAGTTTCAAATTGAAGAAACCATGTGAATCGTACAGGTTAGGCAACGACGATGGAAGAAAATAACGAGGAGGTGATGAACAGATCTGAGTATGGTGGTTCAATTCCTGTTGATAATGTACAAGCGCTTGCTTCCAAGGACTTGAAAGACATTCCGATTCGGTATATTCGACCGGAAATTGAGTCGGAAGAGGTTTTAACTGATGAATCGCTGCAAATTCCGGTGATCGACATTAGCAAACTCGCCGTCGCAGGAAGACCTGGCTACGATGATGAATTGGATAAACTTCATCTTGCTTGTAAGAATTGGGGCTTCTTCCAGGTGATTAATTCATGCATACACACATGTATATAACATATGGTGAATTTTATTATTGATCGAGAGCTTTACTAATGCAAACAGCTGATAAATCACGGGATAACGGAAAGCATAGATGCAATGAAGAAGGTTACAGAGGAGTTCTTCAAGCTGCCATTAGAGGAGAAGATGAACTGTGCACAAATTCCGAGTTCCATTGAAGGTTATGGTCAAGCATTTGTGGTTTCTGAGGATCAAAAACTTGATTGGGGTGACATGCTCTTCATCTTACCCTTGCCAATCCCCCAACGAAACATGAGATTTTGGCCTCAAACTCCCCCTTCATTCAGGTAATTTCTATGTCTTTGATTCTTAAACGATCAAATTCAATCTGAATAAACAAAAAAAAAAAAAGGTCATGCATCTGTACTTATGTATTCAAAGTTCATAAATTTCAACTCAATCATGATTTTTTTTGAACAAAACATGATCTCATTTGAACTATTATGATCCAGGACTACTTTAGATGAATACTCAAAGGCGTTACAAGGTGTTTCGATGGAATTGTTCAAGTTAATGTCTATAAACCTCGGAATCAAACCTGCAACACTTAGCAACATGTATGAAAATTGCACACAAGGTATCAGAATGAACTACTATCCTCCATGTTATGAAGCAGACAAGGTTTTAGGGTTAGCACCACACTCAGATGCAACAGGGATAACCCTCTTAGTTCAAATCAATGAAGTTCAAGGTCTACAAATCAAGAAGAACTCAAAATGGGTGCCCATAAAACCCATTCCAGGATCAATTATTGTCAACATCGGTGATGTCATGGAGGTAATCAATTAATCTTTTAGAATATTATTATATGTGTAGGGTTAAAAAGCAAAAAGTAGCCATTTTAAACAAATGAATGAAAATATGTTGCTATTTTTTGAAACAGATAATGAGTAATGGAGAGTACACTAGTATTGAGCATAGGGCTATGGTCAACTTTGAAAAAGAGAGGATTTCCATTGCTGCTTTTCATAGTCCGGGAGTCAAAGCTATGATTGGGCCATTGATGGAGCTTGTTAAAGATAAGACACCAAAATATAAGACAATTGATTCAGAAGATTATGTGAGATTAGTTGTTAATAGCAAACTTGATGGCAAATCCTTAATTGATCATATGAGGATTTGATTTAATAGCAATTATTGAAGGTTTTATTTTATAAGTTTATAATCAAATATATGACTCGAAAAAATCATATAAAGGTTGACTTTTTGGTAATCGGATTTTAATTTTTCTAGCTAACTTATTCTTAGCAAATGATTCTTGTTAGAGGTGATGCTTATCGACATGTAGATGTGTTGTATGTGGCATTGTTGGAATGGTGGAAATCATCCACTCTTGCAATAAATGGGTGAATTCGAGTGTGATACTATGTTAAAACAATGTGTTTAATGTCCCATTATGGCCCTCTAATCAATTGAAAATAGTTGGTTTGAAGTGAAAATCAATTTGAAGAAGTTTTGTGACGAAAGTACAATCTAGGTTCTTATTGACAAGAACAATAATATGATTGACTAGTTTATTAATTTGTCATTTGGTGGCTTAATTAGAATATAGAAGGGAAAATGACATTGTAGCATATTAAAGTTACATCATTTGTCCGATTTGATCACTATAATTATTTTTTTGCGCAATAAACCACTAAACTCGTATTTGACCTATCAATTAAGCCCATTTTTCCGATTTTAAAAGGTTTATCGGTCATTTTAATTACATGGCATTTAATATTTACTTTTGGAGAGAAAAATATTTCACCTCATCTCTACCATTTCTAATAAACTTATATACATAGGAACTAACGGATCATTACGGAAATGGATGAAGAGTCTCAAATTTCAAAATGAAATACTTTAAAGAACAATCGTCATCCTCAAATTCGAGATCGTTTCTTCCAAATCAATTTTTACATTACAAATTTAATTTAAATATCTTCTTAGATCTAAATTTAATTAAATAGACTTTTAAGAAAACATAACAAATAAAAAAGAAGAATCATAAACGAGAACTTTCCATATTAACAATTGACTGAGTACTAATTGGCATATTCTTGGTTTACAATTCATACTTCACGGCATGATGAACAAACTAAAACTAAAAGGTTGTTTGATAGCTTCTTAATTTAAAAATTAAAAAGATACTCTTAAAAATTAGGTTTGTTAGCATCTTAATATTTCAAAAGCCTTTAAATTCAAACATGAAATTGTATTTGAAAAACAAAAAAAAGTGTGTGCTCCTATTTTGCCTTAAACAACATCTCTCCTCTTTTCTATTTCATACATTGACCCCTTTTCTTTCAGCACACTTCCACAACCTAGTCAGGTGTCTCCACCTTCGTTCCAGTTCCATCGTAAGGTGCCTCCACCTCCGCGAGGCACCACCATCATTACCCTCGAGTTCCGTCAATCTAGTCACATCATATATGGTTCACTCATTCCTCTATGGTTTTCTACCGCATTGAAATGTATTTCGTTCCAAAAAAAATTTAATGATTCAAACTAGGTTAAAACCTATGTAATACAAGGTTGAAAACATAAAATATTGTAAATAATATATATTAAGTGATTGACTATATGAGTTGATTAAATAAATTAAATACAAATGAGTAACATTAAAGGTTTATAAAATGATATTTGAAATGAGAAATAAATAATATTTTGAGTGCAAGATGTCATTGTCTATTTCTTGTTGGCGTGTCTTGAAAATGCATCAATATCAATAAATGTTTTGATGTATTTTTTAATCCAAAATAACAATACTTAGACTTTTTCAAAGCATAATAACAATGTATTTATGTTTTGTTACCTATAATAGCAATATATAACTTGTGAAACTTATAAAATGCTTAAAAGTTTCATATAGCATATTGATATTACTGAGACGCAAGTGTCTTGCTCTAATGGGTATGTAATTGTAGTATTATGTTTATAGAAATGCAAGTATGGTGCTATTATAAGAAAATAAAGTACAGTTTACAATTTTCCTATTAGTAAGTTACAGTTACATGGCACTATTATCCGTAAAAGATGTAAGGGATTATGCATAAAATTTAAAGTACAATTGTAACATACACGTTTTGAAATCGTCTTATGTAATTTGAAAAGTTAATAATATTATGAAATATTATGTGAAATTGAGTGTTGAGTTCTAACATATAGTTTTTACTAGAAATGACGTAAAACTACGTTTAGAATCACTCACAAATTATTGGAAGTCTTATGAGATTCCAATTAAAAGCCAAATAGTGAAATTTAGAGAAAATATAAAATTTGAAATAAGTAAAATTTTATTATTGAAAGTTGTAGATAATCTCGTTAGAAACACGTAGGCGAAAACCTCGTCGAAATCCGAGTTATAACGAAGAAGTTATGACCAATCGAAGATCCGCGATAAAACCGGCACGGTGTCGAATTACGTAAAAAGTGAGTCTTTGATAAACTACTTTTTATCCTTAGTGATCTAAATGAAATTCGTAGTATTCGTTAAACCGAGAAGTTCGATAAAAAGAACGCCAAAATCTGACTTCGTATTGAGGAAGTTATGATTTTTACAAGTTTCAGCTTAGCAGTAGACAGCTAAAAACTCGAATTTTAGATCGAGTGATTTTTAGCCGACACAACCTAAACGAGAATCGAAGATCTCGTCATTAGCAGTATAACGGTAAAAAGTCTGACGAAAACGGACGTCGGATGAAGAAGTTATGAATTTTTAACGGATTTACCATTCCCGGTCTGTTAAAAATAATAATATAAAAATAAAGTCAAAATTTTCCGACGAGTCTAAACGAAAGTTGTAGAGCATAATTTTTCTCTACGCGTGCATATAAAGAACGTCAAAAACGGAGCCTGTAATGCAAAAGTTTACGGATTTTAGAAGGTCGGGGCCAATTTTCGAGAAATCTCGCAAAGGATAAGGCTGATTTCGGTGAGTCCAATCCGCCACGTGTCCGACCGAAGACCCAGCTCCAGCTGCCTGACGCGTCGCCTTCTGATTCGTCCGTACAACGGCTTCAATCCCCGTGTCTGATCCATGACTCATCCTCGCATGAACAGTACCCCGCGTGTCGCTTCCGGATTCGCCAACTTCGCGACCAGTAGCCTCCGACGCGCCTCGCACACCCCGTCCGAAGCGAGGCCTCGCAGCCTGCCACCCTGCTTCGCTCTGCCGCTGCCGCGTGTCGCTGCTGCTGACTCCTCCCTTTGATCGGCCGACCCTCGCCCTATAAATACAAGGCATGCGAGCCTTGCCGAGGAAAATGGAGAAATGGCCAATTTTTTCACCCTTTCTCAATATTTTTGGTATTTGGCTTCCCCGAAGCCCCGGGATTAATTCCAAAGCCCGAAACGCGCCCCGAGATTCTCGAGAAGCCCGAAAAATTTATCTTTTCGGTTTCGAAGCTCTACCTTCGCAGAGCCCGGTTTTCAACGACGAAAGTCATATTTAGAGCCGAAGTGCTGCCCAAATTATTATTTTGACCCCCGGTTAATTCACGGTGAGTTTAATATGTAGAAACAATTGTATGTTATGTGTTATATGTGCTATGTGCTTTTCCATGTTATCCTCTCGAGTTGTTGTATCCGCTATTTTTATAGCAAGGCTGTACCTCTGACTTGAAGTGTATGACATATTCATCACTTGGGTATTGGTATGAACCGTTGACCATGAAGTGTATGACATAGGCATCACTTTGGCTTCGGTAGAATAATATTCCTGAGTATTTTCCCGTGTTATTTTTATTTCTGGTATTTATGATAGCAAAGTTATACCTTTGACCATGTGATCAGTTTAAGAACTCAGATTCACAGTGGTACTGGTATGTAGCCTCTGGCCATGTAGAGCATGTCCCCCAGTAAGTGAATGACTCTATTCTATGGCATTGGCAGAAGGTTAGACAGGGCGTGAAAACCTGAAATCTACCTTAATGTTAATTAGAAATTGTTTGTCTTCAGTGCCATTTGGGCCGAAGCGTTATTGATGTTTATCAAGTATGGAAATTGTTATGTCTCAATGATTGTATATCTTTGAATCAAATCAATAATTGTTAGGGAAAACTTATCACATTATGCCTTTGTTGTTCCTTGCTCCTATTTGCTTCTGCCATATTGGTATATATATATATGGCATAATGTTATATTGTATCTATTATTGAACTCACTAAGCGTTATCGCTTACCCCTCCCAATGTTTTAACATAATGCAGGCAATAAGCACCCAGTATAGTTGGAAGACTTAGAATAGTTGTAATATTATTTTTTTGTATTTTGGTTTAGGTTTGTATAAATTTACAATATCCTGGGTAGTCATGTAAAATCTTAAAACATAGTCGATTTGTATCCAATCTTTTGTAATGACTTTATCAATGTAAAAATATTATTTTATGAGTATGCATGTAGCATGTTATGGAGTAACTATATTGTCAAGTATGAAAGTTTGGGGTCTTTCAGAAATATGAAAGTATAGAAAGGGGTTCTTTCAATCATGGTATCAGAGCAGTGGTTTAAGTGAACTAAATCCCATGGATTGGTATTTAGACTTAAACTATTGGAAGTTCAATATATGAACTGGAATCATTGTAAATATATGGATACAAACCATAGGAAACACTTAAGTGGGGTATTGGGTAGTAATAAACCCTAGTATTCTAAGACATTAACTTACTTCAAAAATTTTAGAGAAATAGTATATATGAACTAGGAATTTTGAGAATTTCTAGATTTAAACATGAATTGTTAAGTGAAGATGATACATATGTATCTGATATATTTAGGTTGAATACCTAATGGGGTAAGCACTAGAATATTAAGAGGAAATATGCCTTATATTCTAATATGTGCTAAAGGATAAGTAAATATAGCATGATTTAGGTTTCATACCTATATTGCTATTATTTGAGAAAGTTTAAGGTCTGTTGCCGACCTTGGTTTAGAAAATTTTATGTTTAGAATTCTAAGAATTTCGTAATAGAATTTACATGAAATTTTCGAAGTAATAAAGATACTTATGATAATTGATATTGATAAATTTATTGATAAACGATCGAAGGATATCGTGAAATAATAAATATGGAATGTTATCGTAAATAGTGTATTAATACCTATAAAGTGGTATTATGCATTTAAAATATGTAAGATAATATAATAACATCTTGGAAGAAAG